GGTGGTTTGTGAGTCTCTTCGACTGGGATGCTGTGAGGTCTTCGGAAGCATTTCGGTGGTTGGATTGGATGTATATGATATTTTTCAGCGAGTCTGGATCCATTGTAATAGTGTAATAGGATAACTAGTACTATGGCCACTAGGTTATCCATAGCAAAAAGCTAACGTAACCATTTGTTAAATGATACTCGTGGGCGTGGCCACCCAACCCACCATCTAACAATAGTTGGATAAACGCCTAGGGAATAGTTTTTTGTCAGCTCCGTCATAGATCGCGTCTTAGTATCCGGCCGGAAAAACTTTTCACCAACCATCTCATCTAGTGTGGGGTAACTATATAATTGTTGATGAAGTTGCTACGTATGCTCTGTTTTCTGTGATACGCCGAATATACGCACGCCGTGTGGCTCGGGTTTGGACCCATGAAGGGGGAATTTTTGGGTGGGCGGGGCAACTTGCCGTCCAATGCATTGAATTGCTTTGACGATTGCTGTAGAGCAAGGCGGGGAGAATAAGCATATTTGCCCCTGCCTCCTCCCATCATTATGGTCAATATACAGCGCGGTAAATGAAGTCCGCAGGGAGCTTCTCAGAACAACAGTACCACGATAGGCTGGAGGGGCCCTCTCATACGCAAAAGGCCAAACGGCCCAACGCTGACCCCCTCGGGATCCCATTTCCCCACATGAAAACACAGCTGCGGATGCCAGGTTGCTAAAGAACTAGAGAACGCCTCACTTCGTTTAAGAAGAGGAGGTGGCGAGAGACTACAGCTGGTCTGATCAAACTCCTCAAGCAATTAACAAATCTTGTATACATTCCAAAAAGGAAAGAAAAGATAAAGAAATTTGGGTGTTTCGGGGTGAAGTTATGGCCCCTGCTTTTGACTTCATCGTGGTTGGCAGTAAGATTACCAATCCAAGCCTCTGGTAACAATTTGAGCTGAAATCGGGAAACGTAGGTGGCCCGGCTGGCAGCGCTGTTGCATCTGGGGCTTGTTCGTGCTCGTGCGAATCCAACAGCCCTGCTTCTCGAAGCAGGCGATAATCTCGAGGATAGGAACCTACGCGTCGATGGGCAACGATGGCTGACCTTTCAAAATAAGAATATGAACTGGGGTTATCAAACTGTACCCCAGGAGTACTGCAATAACAGCGAACTCGATTACTCTCGTGGACGCGGGGTCGGAGGCTCCAGCGCCATCAACTTTGGTGTCTACAGCCTTGGTGCCCGGGATGACTACGACAAATGGGCGAAGATCGTAGGTGATGATGCCTTTAACTGGGATCACATCCACGCCCGATTTAAGGAGCTTGAGACGTTCCACGGTGAGGTTCCAGCCGGAGTTGATAAAAAATACGCTGTTCCAAAAGCTGCGGACCATGGCACAACGGGTCCCCTCCACGTCGGAAATGCTGCAGAATGGGAGAAGGACCTTGTGCCCACGCTTGACATTTTTGAACAGGCTGGATTTCCACTCAACCCAGACCACAACTCTGGTAATCCAATTGGGATGTCTGTGCTGATCAATTCGGCACATAAGGGTCTGCGATCCACCGCAAAAGATTTATTACAACGCCAGGCACAGAACCTGACAATAATGGCTAATTCACCTGTCCAGCGTCTCCTTATAGAGGACAAAAAGGCAGTAGGAGTAGTGGCAAATGGCACCCGATGTAAGAACCTGCTCTGTAGAATGCTTGGTTCCCAAATAAACACAGCTATGCTATGGACCAGCTCATGAGCAAACGTTAGCTAGACCTGGCCTCGAAATAGGTCATCCTCTCAGCAGGTGCACTGGACACGCCGAAGATTCTGATGCACTCAGGTATCGGCCCTGGAACAATGGAAGCGCGATGCCACGGGCCCGTGGTCCAAATTCTCCTGCGAATGCGGCATAGGCTGGTTCAAGATCGACGGACTCACGCAGACGAAGGAGTTCGAAGACCTCCCCTCTGAGGAGCAGGAGTACCTTCAAGAAGTAACCGTCCCGCATTTCGAAATCTTCACTCACTTTCCCATCCATTGGTTCGTCCCGGATTTCCCAGACTCGGCTCTTGATTATACCTGTCTGCTTGTTTTCCTGTACAACGCCCAGGCCCGTGGCGAGGTTACATTGCAATCTTCGGATCCAAACGAGCCTCTGCGCATGGATCCAAAATTCCTCTCCCACCCCTCTGATCGTCGTGCTGCAATTGATTTCACTCCGTGATGCATTCCGCATTGCAAAACATCCTGCTTATATCAAGGATAAGTTGGCGGAGTTAGCTGCGCCCAAATCCAACTCTGACGAGGATCTCTTGGAATATTGGAAGCAGAATATCTCGTCCAGCTGGCATATAATATGCACCGCCAAGATGGGCAAGGCTCGAGATGCCGATGCAGTTGTCGATTGTGATTACCGCGTCATGGGTATCGATGGTCTTCGCGTGGCAGATATGAGGGTGATCCCTGTGTTAGTGAGCGGGCATATCCAAGCCGCAGAGTATGTGACTGGTGATGCTTGCGCGGAAAAACTCATCAAAGAATATAATCTTGCATGAGAAGTCAATGAAAATATATTGGCTAAGGTGGGGTTAGCTCCGCTTGTTACTTCCATCGGTAATGAGCTGTGTGGTTATTGATCGACACTGAGCTAGGAGCTACATCTCTCGGGCCGAGCTCCTGGATACGTTAGATATTCATACTGTCACCATTGTTTATTATGCAGAAAGAATGTCGTTGGTCGTAGGGCCAATAAATGGCGCAAAGAAGCGCTACAAACGTATTTATAAAAACAGAACCAATCTGATCAAGCTGTTATGTAAAACTTCATTTACGCATATGGCACGACAAAAGAAACCTAAAAGTTTTAATATGGGCATCTTCATGTTTCCCTTTTGACTTCTGTGTATGCTCTTTCTAGCTCGAACCCTTTAAAAAATGAAAATAAAATTCATAAACGAAGAACGTGTATTTGCGTTTATGTACGCAGGTTTGGAACTTAAAGTCCTTTCACGTACTAAAATTCAAATGGAAATCTCAATACTGGAGTTCAAATGAATCTGACCCTCACAGCAAAAGTTATGGGACCTTGATGCCTAACTTAACAGCTAAGCTTTACGGATCAAACCTCTAAATTGACCCCGACATGTTTGGAGGGCTTGGTATCTGATTGGTACCATGTTATCGCGCGTGTTAGGACTTTTGTTCCACGCCTCTGTATAGACAGACGTATTAGACTAAGGTGTTGAAAGTATTTTCCAATCTCTTGCTCCAAGCACATTATGTCATTCCCTCGAAAATAATCTGCTCCAGAACCTTGCGTTCTCCACTCTCCTCCACCAATCCCCTGAACACACCATTTTCAATCTTCATCAAATCCTTAGGAGTCCCAAATTCCACAGCCTTACCAGAATCCATGACCAAGATACGGTCAAAATCGGCAATAGTGCTGAGTCGATGTGCGATGACGAGTAATGTTGATGAGTTGCGTCCAAACTCAGAGCGGATGGAACGCTGGATTAACGCGTCAGTGGCCATGTCAACCGCTGATGTGGCTTCATCGAGGACCATGATTTTCGGTTGTGAAACAATTGCACGGGCAAGGCAGAGGAGTTGCCGCTGGCCTTGAGAAAGGTTCAGCCCACCCTCGGAGATGGTGGACTCTAGCTTGTTAAAGATGTTTGCGTTAGCTGTGGCTGCAGCAGTTGAGCTGGATTCTCCACTGATTAGTGTTGGAGTGGTCGACCCTGTGCTGGTTTGAGGAGGCGATGAGGATGAGCAGGGCTGAGTTGGCGTGGCTGTTTCGTCGATGGAGTTGGAAACAAGATGCACACGTTCTAAAGCGTCGCGCAGCTGACGGTCGCTAAATTCATCAAACGGATCTAGGAATTGACCTGATCGTTCCGGAAAATAAAACAGGGTCCTGGTGGG